AGCCCAACCCACTCCAGGGTGGGTTGGGCTTTTGTATCCCACATGCACTACTCCTAACGCGCTAGGCTCGATTCGAAGAACTGACGTTATTCGAGTCGTCTTTGTAGCTATACCCTACGTGACCTGAAACCCTAGGCTCAACGCTATTTTTAGTAGAATCAAAAACTACATGACAGAGGTGAAAATACGTAATGAGATTAGGTTGATAGTCATAAACACAACAACCTGTACCTACTACATATCACTTTCATATATGATGAAATCAACTTCACTACAACTTGAGTTGACATGTTTCATATATGACATTATAGGTTAGCATACATGAGTAGTCAACCATTGTCATTCATATACAATAAAAACTTGTTAATTGATATAGTTAAGTTTATTGTGAATATTGTGTTAAGGACAAGCATCATAGGCAAAATTTTGATGTTGAAACTCACAATTCCAATGAGTTCCTTGAGTATATACATAATAATGTGTGAATATGTTTTTCAAAAGCTTCATTCTCCAAGAATTTTTAATACTTATTATTTATTGATTATTACTCAAGGTTTATATGGGTTTATTTTTTCACACAAAGATTTAAGGTTTTGACAACTTTTAGAGATTGAAAATCCCAATTTGATATTCAGACCAGACATCTTATGATATTTTTATGTTAAAAATTAGCAATAATTATACATTTGATGATTTTAATAATGAATTAATAATTATATTACTTTTAATGAGTTTCAAAGTTGGTGCAAATAGTAAAAATTACTCATCATTTTTTCAAGGATTATACTTTGCAACAAAATGTTAATTCTGAAAGGTTCAATCAAACAATGTTGGAAAATATGGGTCAAATGTTAAGCCAATCTGGTGTAACATATGAAATTTAAGCTGAAACTATCAATAGCGCAATATGTTTAATAAATCTTTTTCTTTTTTGTGCAAATAATATCTTTACATTGTTCAAATTGAGTCACAAACGTATGGTTTATTATTGTTGTTTGAAAATTTTTGGTTGTATGGTTTATACTCTCATATCAAAAAAATAACATCAAGTAAAATCCTACATTCACCGCAAGTATATATAAAAAAAAAAATTTATTTTTTTAAATATGATTGTGGTGTAAAAGATTATAGGCTTTGAAATCCAATACTCTTGATAGTTTTTGCCAATAAGAATGTTTATTTAACAAGCTCAGATTATTCCAAAAAAAAAAGTTCAAAGATTAATCTCGACTCACATATGTTGTTAAGGAGAAGATTGATGTTATTATGTTATTAATGATGTGACACAAGAATTAGCTTTGATACAAATGTATCAAATTTCTAAAAAGCAAAAATTTAAGTAGCAAGTATTGTTGATGAAACTAAAATCTTTGAATCATACATAAGAGATCAATCAAAATTTTCTATTAAAAGATCATCAAATCAAATTAACAAGGTTTGTAGAAGCTATGCATTATGAACTGATTCATTCATACTTGAAGATCAGAAAATTTATACTCAAGATGATGATGTCATTGCTTTGATCTTCGAAGAAAGAAAACTTCTTCTTATAAAAAACTCAAGACTTTAGTAATAAGTATGAGAGTAATATTAATATGGAGCATGAGATACAGATGATGTGGAAGCTAGTTAAGCTTTGATTGAATGGGTGTATAAGCTAAAGTACAATCCAAGAGATGATAAGAGTAAAAATTTAAGCTACGTTGGACTATAACAAAATGATCTCACTTGTAGTAAAATATGTTACAATTTGATTGATATATGCACTTGCTACAATATTTGAAATAGATGTATTAGAAGAATTTGATTTGTAGATTGTTGAAATCATTATATGGATTGAAACAAGCTCATATACAATGGAATGTGAATTTGATAAATTCATGAAAGCACATGAATTTTTGCAAGGTGTATATACATGAAAAAAATCACAATAAAACTTTTAATTTTATACTTTCATAAATCTATATGTACTACATGTTTATTTTTCCAAATAATTAATCCTATGTCAACATATGCAAAAACTATTTGAAGTTTGTGTTTAAGATGAAATTATTTGATAAAAAATAAGAAATTGTATAGATTTTTTAAAAACTTTAGACTATGATTGATTTAAAATAAATATGGTAAACTAGTGCTTGATAGTCTTAACATGGCAAACTTCAAAAGAGTATGCACTTGGCAACACTTCAAATATTTTCCACCTCAATGTTCAAAAGATGTCATTGAGAAAAAAAATATCATCAATTCTTTATGACAAAGTTGTCTGCAATCTCATGTATTTGATTGAATGTACACCGCTTACTATTGCTAAAGCTATTTACAAGGTGAGTAGTTAAATTTCAAACCTAGGAAAGTTACATTGTAAAGCAGTGTAATGAATTCTTAGTTGAAATTAATTATGAACAAGATTTGAAGTAATCAGATGTAATTATCTTCCTTGATGACCTTGTCGCGCAAATATTGTATGATGAATTACCCGCTTTCACGTAAGAGCATCATTTTTGTCAGACTGGCAGATGCTTTCGCTATATTGTGTTTACACTTAACAATAGATGCATTAGTTGTACAATCGTTTTGCAAAAATGTGTAGGTAAGTTCACAATAACAGTTGAATATGCAACTGCAACAAAGTAAGTTATTTGGTTCAATAAGCTTAACACTGAGATAGTATTAAAACACGTGGTTATTAATTTTCATTGTAATAGGCAAAAAGCAATACATCTTGTTGTAAATCAAGTGATGTACATCAGTGGAAACACATCCAAATCAAATGTTACTTCATCATACATAAAATTTCTAATAAAAGTATTGAGTTAGTCAAAATAGAATGATAAATTTAATTTAGCTAATAAGTTGATCAAAAGTATTTCTTTGTAGATTTTAAGTAAACATAGGATTTACTATGGAAGTATGGCATGAGTAGCACAATGTAGAGTTTATTGGCAATTTTTGTTATTCATATATATTTTTACTTAGTTTTGATTTAAAAAGTAAGCTTTTTTAGATTTCTACAATTTATCTCAGAGTAATTATATAGATAGTGTACCTTATTGTCTATACAACATGAGTTAAGGAGAATTTTTTAAGTTCAACTTTAGTGTATGAATGAATCGGATTATTCAAATTTAGTATGGAAATACCTAGCTCAACTTCAAACATTGTATGAGATTTTACATAAACCTTTATGTTCTTATGGAGTAACTAAAGTCAAACCTTGTATTATTGACTTCGATCTGTGTGTAGTGATGTGTATTTATGGATTGTAATGATATACTAGTAAATTTTTAAAGTTAAATATCTTCTTTCACTTTGTAAGTATTCTCTCATAATTTTCAAAAAGATTTTAGAATTTTCATATATTAACACATGAGACACAAAATAATTTTAACAATCTAACTTAGATTGATTAATTTCATTTATTGTAACTATCATTTGTTGTAACAAATTAGATACAACTATATTTTAAAAATATTTGGGTATATTCATGTACTTACTCTGTTTGTCATGTGTTTTATGCAAGATTTCTAAAATCTGACAAATGCCAGGTTTGTTAGAATTAAGTTAATTTTGGCATTAACATTGTAATTTCACTATTTTCTGTCATATGAATTAGCTATACTACTTTTAAACGTTTCGAACTGCTTTGCATGCATGATGCCCATCAAAGAAATATCGTGGTACTGATATGAGAATATCTCTCTTCCATTTGATGATGTAGAAATCTCTTTCAACCGAAATCTTATTTAGAAACTCTAAAAGACTTTCAATTATAAAAACAAACATACTAGAGAAATGATATGAAAGAGAAAAAATTGTGAAAAATATAAAACGTATCGGAGCTTTGTAATCTAGCCAAGAAAAGACTTACAATGATGAGAACCAATATGCTATTGAATTAATATGAAAATAAAAAATGAAATATACTTGGCACTTCCAACCATAAGAGTAATATCCATATTGAGTCATACAGTAAAAAGAGTTATTGAAGTTATGGAAAGATGGCTAAGAAATTTTCGACCTGAGTAAATGTATGTTGTAGATTGATGCAATTTATCAACCAAAAAAATTAAGTCCAAATTGAATCATTCAGTACAAAGAGTTATTGAAGTTATGAAAAGATGGCTTAGAAATTTTCTACCAGAGGAAATGTATGTTGTAGATTGATACAATTTACTAATCAGACGTGTATCTTTTGCTTTCTTCACTTGATTTTTTCAATTGAATGTTTGAATTATGTATTCGCCTAGGATTATGTTTTGAAAATCAATTTGAAATTTTTGAAATTGATAATCGTGGTAACTGTAGTCCAATATGTTCTGACTGAAACGCATTCGTACCGCAATGCTAATACCCTTGAAAGTTTTAATAACGGTTAACAAGGAAACATCGTGTTATGCTACCATACTACCGTATCCAAAGTTCGTGGGTTTGAAACAGTATTCAAAGTTGTGAAATGGGTAAAGAAAAATGAAGAGTTCAGTCTATGATAAATTAATCCAAATCAATGCTTATCGGTCACATACAGCTTACTTCTCGGACGCATTCTTGTACACAATAACGTCTTCGATTAAAGACGGCTTTCCGACTAAACCATAGTGAGTTTAAGCACAAAACTTATGCGATGCCACACACGATCCATCACTCTAACGATTGCTAGCATTACTGGGTCAAGAGCCCATGATAAATCGCACCTGACTTTAAATCCAGAAATTAGACAATTTCATAATACCTTCCGTCTTCAGAATTTGAAGTTGCCATGAACACATTTGGGCCTTTCCTCTGATTACTACTACATTAGACCTCTGCTTCACTCTGCCGAAACTGATTGCTGAGAACTGCTGCTGGATCGACTAACGTAATCAGAGATATTGCTATGTTACTTCATTTGGATTCAAGGCCAAATTACAACATGACCACCACAGAAATTACAGCGAAATCATGCCATTTTATTGCGAGACATAGAACATGGCATGAACAAAAACAAAAAAATTCCTTTAAGCGGGAGTAAGACTTTTCAGCTTTCCACGGCCACTTGACAATTTAAGTGGCAATTTGATATTGATGGAAACTCTTTCGATACATTGATGGCAGTGCCTCATCCCACTCAGTACTGCTAGGTCGCTCAACTGATTTCGATTGTTTGTACTTAGTATACATCATGGTCCTTCTTTTCCTTTTTACTCTCCCTGAGTAAAGTCCATTCAATCTATACAAAGTGCCAGTAGTCAATCCCGTCCAAGACCCGACTTCTCATCTACTTAAGGTATGAATAGAATCTCTTCGTTATGAGCACCTGTAGGAAGAATGGTTCTGAGGTCCCTCCAGGGTAAGAAGTCTGTAGACGCGAAGTTTGAAACTATTCCTTTTCTCTCGTGAAGTTAATAGATCCCCTCTTCCTTCGAAAGAACCACCGGGTATCATGGGCCTGCATGCAATGCACATCTCCCTGAGATTCTGCTGACACCATCCGTGGTAAGAAAAGTACCTCCGTATATACTACATGAAATCCAGACCAAATTGGCTACAAACCAACGCGAGATTGAATCCAACGAGCTACGCATTTCATGACTTCAGATGTCTAGTTCTGCAAAGCCGAAAGCACAAGCTGTAATTTGGGAGATCAAACAAAAGAGAACGGAATGCAAAAGACGAGGTGGGTGTGCATCTGCCTGTTAAGGTAGTCGTAAAAGATAAAAGTGAACATTGGGACAAAAAGAAATCTTTCAGTCAAATACTGTTAGGGGCTAGACAGCAGAAAAATACCCACAGGTTAAGAAAAGAGTGGTAGACAAAGTGTGTATCCTCAATGCCCACCACCTATTCTCTCCAGTAAACGCAACCCAATCATATCAAACTCGTAGTCAGCGATATCTCAACAGCACAATAGTTATTCATGAGGGCATTAACAACGATTCACAACGAACAAAGAGCCTTTTACATCTGTGTTTCTGATCAACCCCCATGGTTTCCAGACTGCATATCTTTCTATATACAGTCAAACCGAAGTCTCGACGTAAAGCAAGAAGGACCTGCGATGCAGGTGAAAGCTTACTAAGAAGACTTGCACAAACTCCTCCAGATCTATCCGTACAAAAGGACCCACAATTCCCACCATGTCACAATGCCAAGCAGTCCATTGAGCTCTCATTCAAGTGCTAAGGGGAATTGAGGATCTTGATAACTTGCAGTCCATCTTCATTGGAACATAACAGCCTCACTCAATCGTAGTCAGTGAGATATAATAATTTATGCCTCTAATCTGGATGCCTACAAGTTCAGAGGATAAATACCTGAATCAGGATAACCACAACACAAACCTGCGCATTTCGTACTTTTCGTACTGGTACAAAAGATACCAAAGGGAAAGAAGAGGCCCCCAAACTCTTCTCGCCACCAACAGTTAAGTTAATCTACCAACTGCCTACTACCTAATCATTCGATTCTAATTGCACAAAATGTGATGGCTGATGAACAAAAATGGAGACTGAATGCCTTGTTCTCGACGCCGTGCAAGAAGGTCCTGTCCAATTTTGTAAAACTCCCGATTGAAGAAGATGGTCGACCTGCACCACATATCTTGCACATGCACCAGGTTTACGGTGTAATCGGGAACAATGAGCTGATTGGTATACAGAATATAGCCCCAATTCATTGGTGATAATCCATCTATAAGCTAGGCCTCTTGTGTTCTACTACTTCGGGAACTACCTAATCACTTGGCCTTCCCTCGAGGTCTTCCTCTACCACGCCCCCTCTTCGCTGGAGGACTGGTCTTCGCACTTTTCACCTCAACAGGAGGTGCCTCTGCTTGTGCTCGCCCAGGGGCCCGACCACGACCGCGTCCCTTCTTCGCAGGAGGTTCCTCAACTTTAGCTGGAGCAACTGGGGCACTTTTAGTCGTGGTTTTCGCATCAGTCTTTGGTGGTCTACCTCTACCCCTGCCCCTACCTTTACCTCTGGTATTGCCCCTGCCTTTAGGTTTCTCATCTTCCTCCTCATCTTCGGACTCTCCTTCACTTTCGTCTTTGCTCTCTTCTTCCTCACTCTCGGAGACTTCTTTTTTTTTCGGCGCGGGCTTTGCTTTCTGCTTCTTCTCTGGAGTCGCAACAACAGGTGCAGGTGCCGCCTTTCGCTTCTTCGCATCCTGTTTGGCTTTAGCAGCTCCCTTTGCCCCTCCCTTATTCGGCTTCTCTGGCTCTTCTACGACAGCAGCTGAAAGGAAAAGCGATATCTTCTTCTCTCAGAAAAATGAAATTCGTGGACCCTACGGCAGCACTAATCCACATGTATAGGTTTCTATACTTAAAACTTCATGAGAACACTCACGAAATCTCCCTGTATATTTAATTTACATATTTGAGATTTTGAAAGAGATAGGCTTACCTGGCGTGTATTCAGGAGCGGTGAACGTTTCGACCTGCGAATTTTCAATTTGCAAACATCAAAGCTTGTCCTCAGTTCATTAGTACTACTAAAACAAGGTCAAAAAGCCCAAAAGATAGAGAGTAGATGAAGGCTTAAGATTGAGTATTGAGGCATTCGTGGAACATCTTGATCTGGAAGGTTAATCTCTGAAGATAGTTATTCATCTTCAAGGATTATGATTCCGTATCAACATAATCAGACGACGTCATGAACTAATATTTCTTCACAACTGTATTGAAGATTTTAAATAAAAAGAGATTTCACCTTATCTTTCAACCACCAATCTTCCTCTTCAGTAGTTTTTACCTTCCCCAGTTTCTCGGGTACTTTGGTTCGATCAACCACAAAAAGTGTGTGCCCAACTCCACATGCTACACTGTAAGAATCCAACAAGAAACATTCGTACTGAGATATTCCAGAATTATAAGTATAAACAATAAAACAATCGCCGAAAATCTTAACGATTATTCGAACCACATGATGTGAATGAAGATTATTATGACACATTTATTGCCGGGCTAATGCAACTTCATGTAAACATTCAACTACTAGGATAAGAGACGTAGTGTTCGTCACATGATGTGAATGAAGATTATTATGACACATTTATTGCCGAGCTAATGCAACTTCATGTAAACATTCAACTACTAGGATAAGAGACGTAGTGTTCGTCACACTAGCTTAACAGCAGCTTTTGACATATATTGTAAATTTTTAACTGCCGCTGTTTCTGCTCCAGCAAATAGTTTAGCTCATTCTTTACCATTATTATGAGAACCTGAAGCACAAGGTGATTTTACTCATTGGTGTCAATTAGGTGGTTTATGGACTTTTGAAACTCTTCATGGTGCATTTTGCTTAATAGGCTTTATGTTACGACAATTTGAACTCGCTAGATCTGTTCAATTACTTTCTTATAATACAAAGGCGTTTTCTGGACCTATTGCTGTTTTTGTATCTCTTTTTCTTCTTTATCCTTTCGGGTTGGTTTTTTCACCTAGATTTGGTGTAGCTGCAATTTTTTGATTTTTTTTTTGTTCCAAAGACTTTCATAACTGGACTTTAAACCCATTCCATATGATGGGTGTCGCTGGAGTTGTAGGTGCAATTCACGGCTACTGTTGAGAATACTATATTTGAAGATGGTGATGGTGCAAACACATTCCGTCTTTTTAACCCAACTCAGTGGGAAGCAACAAAACAATATGAATCGATCACCAGAAGCGACTTCGTTGTAGAAGTTCAAGATTATTCAGCATAAAAATAGTTTTGAAGTGTACCTCATGACATGCATTCCTTCGAGCACGTCAATCAGCTTTGGGTTTGCTGACGATCTGTTTAGGCAGTCAAGCACCATGCACAAAATTAGGTTTTTTCAACACACATATCAAGAGCTAGAGCTACCGTTGGTGGAATTCAGCAGATGGCATTTAAACTGAAACTCTACAAATGCACAACATTAATACTAACTAGTACAAACAACATACTTGGGTCCAGTGGGGCCGTAGCCGAGTTCTCCGTAAACTGCTGTTCCCCAGCTGATGCAGGAATTCTCTGCAGCAGCCACGCTGCTTGTATTACCACAATCCATGCTTCGAATGTTCCAGCCACTGAAAAACAACCAGGCATGAAACACAGATCGATTTTAATCTTTATATTTGACTTCAGGGCTAGATTTAACCGACGGGTTGAAAGAGCTCAACAAATCTGGTTAAGAATCTACGTCAGACAAAGGCTTAACTTTCAATAATGTCCACCTTCTTGGCAAAAATGCATTTTAAATATCATTTATAGAGTATACATTATTAAATGTATAATTACGAAGTTTCAGGTCAAAATAATTTGACATTTGACATTGATCACTTGAATGAAGTAAATACTTGGTGGCCACATAAACCCTGCACGAGGTTTGAGTGCTAATAAAATCCTTATCAATCCTATTGCTTGAGACAGATTCATCCGCGACCGACAATACACCATTTTACATGCTTCAGGAAGTTGCGGAGATATAGGAAGAAGCTGGATGGATATCCTTGAGAATTTCAACTTTCAACCAAACAAAAAAATAGAAGGTTACCTTAAGTCCATGACAGGCTTCGGATACATCCAATTGTCACCTGTCGTCTTCACACGTCCCCACATATATAACTGACCGCCTCCTGTTCTCGGTAGGAAATTGACAGAAATTAGAGCCAGTGTTAGCCGAACTGCAAAATATAAGCTAAGACGTTAATAAAATATGAAGCCAAACTACCTTCAAGAACTGTGACAAAACTTAAGGGCATTTGCATACCGGCGGTACATGCAGAGTATGCAGACCCTGCGGCAACGACAGCTGTTGGTGGCAACGTGTTAGAACGCTGGAACTGGTCCACGACTCGCGGAGCCCATTCATCCTTTTGTTCCTTGTGACCCAGTCTGTAAGATACAAATTGAAGTCGCTATAAGTCGTGTAAAAACTGTAAGTCCACAATAAAACATTTAGGCAGAGCCTTTGTCTTCAACAATTTTCACCATATCCATGCCTACAAGAACTGTATTTGAGCACTCTATTTTCATTCACTCAAGATATATAAAAGAATGAAGCCATGTCCATGACAATCGATAGATCAGCTCACCTTCCATGACCGCCAAAGCCCCACCTGCAAATCAAAGAGTCGGATGACAAACATGAAAACCCTCACACACATTAGTAAATTTATCGAATTGACAAAATCAATGCTCGCCACAAACATTCAATTTCGCAAAAACTTTCATTGCAAAGACTCAAACCTAGAACATGTGCAGACAGTTGGTTCACATGATAGAAAAACATACTAGGGCAGATACTTGGAAAGAGGGGGATGTCCTCAGACTATATACTCACGTATACACAAAGCCGTCCGAGTCTACAGCCACTGCATCTCGATGTCCACACAAATACATACACAAACATTCACATATTTTAGTCACATCAATAGACAACGGACATCAATAAATTTGTAACAAGTAAGACTACGTAACAAGATACATTTACTGATACATGCTCGATAGAAACTAATATTTAGTCTAAAATATCATTCCAAGTGAGCGAATATGTAGGTTGATAGTGTACATGTTAACGTCAACATTTAGTAGTACCCATAAGAAAGATGACTTGCTCATTATTCACATCAACATTCAGGAAGAGATGTCGGTTAAAAACTTTAATGTATGAGCTGAGCTTCTACAATACCAAGCTTATCCAAAGGTGTCAAAAGCAAGGTGAATAAATAGGATTAAGTGTTCAAGACATTTTCATATTGAGTAAAGGAAAAGGCTCCATAATTAACCAGGTTCTGTAAACCCACCACTGTGATTGTTTCCACAAGCTGCTTTGGTAATATTTTTTCCGGCGAGGGATGCAATGGCTCGAGGCCGCGGTTGTGGCTCATAGACTAAACGCACTGAACCTTCCTTGGAATTGTACTGGACAAGAATTTGATACACGGTCGTTAGCTTAAAAACAAAAGAATAGCCTTACAGGCATCACCTATGAACTTTAAAACAAATGGGAGCACACAACTTAAACCTTATATGTTAGGATCGCTTCGCATTCATTCCCTACCTCGTTATCAGTTCCATGTCCGAGTTGTCCGTACTGAGGCAAGCCAGCAGACCTGAACAATGAAATACTCTCCTAGATCAGTGTACAGGCTACATGTACAAGTAGACTAGATTTTCCATCTGAGCAGATAATCAAATACATTAAGCTGACATATAACAGAAAGTTACCAAGAGAGATAGTAGATGTGTGAAAGAAGTAAAAAAAACTCATCTTGTGACCAAAATCCGTTTCCTGTTGGTTTGAAATCGTACAAATTTCAACAAAAAAAGAGGCAGAGAAACCAAAAAAAAAAAGCTGTTCAAATAGTGAGCATATAAATTATACTTAAGACCCTCGAACAAACAGTGAACACCATCTTGCCAGGTTCACTCGGCAAATAAGAAAAAAAAATAAAAATTGATTGGAAGCAGTAGAAGTAGACACTTTTTGCCCATTTGACCAAGCCAACGACGCTTAGCGGGTCTGTTAGGGCCATTATTTCATGCCAGCACTTTCTCGCCCGAATATGCTACTTTATAACCCTCATTAACAAGTTCCATTGGAAAAGTGCTGGCAGTTTAGAATTCGTTTCCTTAGAATCCAGCTGGTTAAGAACAACAAACCCTTTTCATAGGATGATTACAATTTCATGTTTTCTTCACAATTTCTGCTCATCTTGAAAACCATGTGACTAAAGCATGGAAGCCCACTACTCCAAAAGTGACTAAGTTTATGAACTTACAGAATTGAAGCCCCAGTTACAGATGACAGCCAAAGGGTAAATTCCGCTCCACAATACACTTGTTTCACCTCTGTAACCAAACATCTAACCGGCAGCTTCTCCGCTTCTATATTGGTCGCTCTCTTACAATACCCCATAAGAAATACAGATCATCAGATCGGCAAATTGCGTCATTTGAAAGCTATCCACACTTTTACAGATGTTCCCAAGACTGACATGCTATTGACAACTATTGCTGATCTCTTCCGGCCAAAAAGATGAGTACCTCCTTGCTCTTTGTGCCACAAAGCGTTACAGTGAGAACTTCAAAAAACCGTTCAAATCAAAACAGGTGGGTATCTTTCCTAGTGAAGACTAAGGTTTACTCTGACCCTGTTTTAACGATCGATTCAGCACTAGAATCGACGACAACAAGACTTTCCAAGAAAAGACAACACATTCCATCCACATTGTTGTGACATCACTTGCTGATGAAAACGCACACACCTTCTTTCAGACTGCCTGATCCTAGTTGACCATGTTTGTTCCATCCAAAAGCCAAAGAGGAACCTTCTTCAGTAGCGACAACAGTGTGGCTTCGACCAGCTCCCGCCTTAACCACTACGTGTCTGGACAGCACAAAGCGGAGATGTGAAACACTCATACTTGTTGAATTGACCTGTAATTTGCACTGTCCTGGTTTTTGAATGAAAGGTCATGTCTATGAGCAACATGTGTCTTGGTATACCTTGTTAGGGCTGTCACAAGCGTTGGACTATTACGCTGGAGAAAATCTCCATGGCCTAGTTGACCTTTCTGCATATGAGAAGTGACAGTGATGAGTTCTTCGCAATCCGCAGCTTTGTCTTCAGTGAAAAATTCAAACAGAGATTACTAATCTTGTACATAACAATGTAAAAAACAATTGCAATAACGCGCGATCAATCGCGAGGGCTTAAGACGCAAGGAGGTCCGATTGATTTCAAAAGAAATTCACCAACCCCCTATTCCTCTTACCTCATTGCGACCCCAGGTGTAACAGCGTCCATTTACATCGAGAGCCACACAATGACACGAGGCTGCGTGCAATAAGAGACCAAACGTTATTCGTGCAACTAATACGACTAATTCTCAAGTGAATGACTCTCCTCGTGTCATTTATATTCTATTCATTTCATAGTTTCTCAAACCAAATCATTGGCAAATACTTTGCAAGCCTCAGAAGAATAATCCCTGACAAGAGCGAGACAAAAATTTAAACACCACGGAGATCAGTCAACAAAGTTATGGCGTTCCCGACCGAGATATTCATGATTTATAATTGCATGAGCGTCTAGAAGAGACACGTCCATGGATGACTTCTCAATAGTACGCAACACAAACTTTAAGTGGATAAATTTTACATGTGTACATTTAGAAGTGAAATAAGTGAAGACCTCCGTTATCTAATTAGCGACACAATGATTTCAGTAGACTTCAAATGATGAAGCCTGAGCCATATTTCAATTTTCCAAGTCAATAGCTGAAAAACTAAAAAAGAATGTCCGCAATATTAGAAAGTATATAGAGAATAAAAACGACATAAAGGATATTGATGGCCGTTATGCATGCATTCAGGTTCAAGAAATCTTCTCTATCAACCCTACTACGGATTTATTTTGCATACATTTCCTCCATCATTGTGTCTAGATCATCTCAGGCTCACGTCCGCAGCCTTGATTTTGGAGCAAATTCCATGTGCAGAAAGAACAACGTTGGAGAGTAAGGCAGAAGTTCGAGAAACCTCAGTGTAGGAAAATTGCGTTGTGCAGACTGACATTACAATGAAAAATAATTTTTCATCATCAGCTTCTACAATGTGATTCTTGTAGTTGCTTATAGCACTGAAGTCAGTCTGGTAAACCCACTCTCATGAAGAAGAATGATAAGCTGAACAAGATACAAAAAATGGTAACTGGAGGAAAAAACTAATACGTGAGAAGGTCAGTAGAGAGATAGAGATCAGCGACTCACAAACTGCGCACATAGGTGAAAGGTAAAATTAAAACAAGGCGCTAGTTACGGTTTACGGTTGTAACTATTGACGCCAGGCAGCTAAAATAAACTTCTACGATCCGAAACAAAATTTCATCAAATGTGCTGGTTGGCAACGTCATATTCGTACAAACAACATCAGATGCATGTCACCCCTTTATTAGAGGCTTTGAACCACCGCACTTGTACAGGGTTTCCGTAGCTTTTCAACAATAATGGAAACAAACGAAAACCAGCCACATCGTTCGATACGACTGAGCAGAAAACGATATGCAGAATATCGTAAAATTAAGTGCAATGCAAGGACAGACAGGAACAGAGCATATAAACTCGGTCATAACAGTTGAGAGAGAGTACGTTCGGGTTGAAAGATGCGAGTTGATCGAAATTGGTCTGAACGAGTAAAAAGCAGCCTTTCGAACCCAATTTGAAATCAAGGAAGAATGAAGAAACAAACACCATATAGTAGAAAAAATTGGGGAGTACCTGATCCAGACGCAATGAAAGCGATGGAGACGTTCAGGAGAGAAGTAAGTCGAACAGGCTTGGACATATTGGTATTGTTACTACCGTCCACGGTCTTCCTGCCGACATTTTCCCAAGACGCACATCCACAAAATAACAACTCGCCTCCTTTCACTTCCTCCTCTTCTTCCTCTTTTTCTTTCTCCTCCTCGACTTTCTCCTCTTGTTTCTCCCCCTTCTCCGCTTCTACCGGCTTAGGCGTCGCTGGAGGTCCAGCTCCAGCACTCTCTGTTGCTGCCATCGAGAACTCTCCTCCCTCCTCCCACAGCGACAACACCCCAATTCGCAGCAACAAACCCACCAACGACTACTCGAAGACGCGACACACAACCAACTTAACGAAAATCGCAAGCGGGTAACAACGTTCGATTCGACCCTACTCCCCGTTGCGCACTTCGATGGCCTCACTGAACCAAAACTCAAGAGAGCGAGTTCGCCCCGTCCGTATTTGCCGTTGCAATCGCAGTCTCGGCCACGAGCTCAAGGTTTCTCTCGTTCTCTTCCTCGTTCCCTCGCTCTCGCTCGCTCGCTCGGTGGCGCTCGCCTCACGAACATTCACGCTCGCCTGCAATGCACTGCCAGTAGAACAGGCCTCGTTCAGAAAGTCAAGTTTACCGGCGACCTGGAGGAGGGACCGATCGAAAGATTCTCACGTAGGACCGAAACATGGCCATCGATTGAGGACATCGACGGGCGGATGGTGTGCGCAGGAGAGTTCCCGCGGAGAGGCGCGGGCTCGAGGCTCTGTGCACGTTCCCGGTTTCTTGGGCGATCGCCGTCAGGTCTCCTTCCGGATTGGAATACCGGCTGTTTGCGGCGAATGGGAGCCTGCAGCGTGGCGTTGTTCGTTCAGGGAGTACGAGCGCGCGTGAACTCCCTTACCTCCCCCTCCATTTGCCGCCGGCTGATAGCGCTGATCGCTCCAGTGACGTGAAAAGAACCTCGTACGCGCGCGTCCGCTCCCCTGCGACTGGCAGAGTCCCGATCTTGATTCAAAATTGTCTCGCCCCACTGCCGCTAAAACTCTTTCTCTCCGTCCTCCGTCCTCCGTCCGGCGTTCTCGGTTGCTCACGTGGCTGCAACCGATTCGTCACTTCCGTGCCCTCAGTCGGTCTGGAGCCAAGATACCCTTCTTCTACTCCGGTCAAGAGACTCTAGCCATGACTACTCAGTGATGCTACTTCGTCGCAGCCGCCGTGAGTGGCACACTTGTCCACCTGCTGGAACTGGGAATGTCACTAAAGCTGGGGACAGGTACGGTACAGTGACAGTACCGTGTCGACTCCGGACTCTGGAGTGCTTCACAGCGGGAACCACGAAGTGGTTCGCGCGTTTGAGAGCATTCGAACGCGAACGGAGGTTCGACGATCCTGTCTGACCTCCTCGAGGGGGCTCTGCCATCTTTCGAGACGAGGATTCTGTCCTCGAGACATGTTCTCATCCTCTGCCGGCCTTGAGGAGCCTCGATTTCGAGATTCTCCGGTCCGTAACAAACCTCGACGGTGGCATTGGAGGATTGGCGGGCGAAAGCTGGTCTGAGAATTTACTTTCGAAAGAACGTTCCGGATCGAGGTCTTACAACACCCTCCGATTCCAGCAAGGCCCCAGACACCGCTGGATTCCAACGCTGGAACTGGATTCCAACGCTGGAACGACATACCTCTGTGGGCAGGCTTCGTACGTCCTGCGATCCTCCACTAAGTTGTTGTGAATAGTCTTCGTCTTGAAAACCAGAATGCTGTGGCTACCAGGAAGGTGCTCGACGTCTATGGAATATGCCTGGAGCTAGATTGCTCTTTGTGATGGATCGGATACCCAAGCCATCACCCGAGATGAATGAGACGACCACATAATGACATAACGGTCACGAGTTAACACTCGGTAGTGGCATTGGGATTCGGAGTGACTGATTGACTGCAATTGTGAAAGCTTTGCTAACCAAACACTGCCTAAGTCTTGGCGTGGTCTTCCTTGTCATTCGTACTGAGATCAGTAACCAGTTTTGAGAAAACTGATTTAAGCTTGCAATCCTGCACATAATGGTTCCTTGTATTTCTTGGATTTCTAACTGCAAGTTTACAGACTTTAATCAGAAATGAGACATGAGACTTTTTGGTAGATCAAACTCTAAACTACACAGAGCAGGAAAGGCCGGAAACAGTTCTTCTGCGCGATTTGATGCCCTTGCCTTTCCACAGTTTTGACTGTACATTGGAAGTTTCTGCACATGACACCTTCTCAGTTTCCTGTCATACTCGTTGATGTTCTCAAACAGATCCTCTACCTGGTGAACACACGGTCATGCATGGAGGACTGATGTGCTCCTGTGCATATTTTAACTTAAGTGAACCTCCATTGATTGTCGATGTCATTATAATCACATCGAAGATGTTTCTATGGACATCTGGACATTTCGAACAAGCGGAAAGAATACGATGATACATTTGAGACTGCTGGACCGAAGAAACTCAGAGATATCGACGCCTGAGATCAAAACAATAATCTACCTTGCATCGACATTGGAAGCAGACAACTTCTCGAAACTTCATCATTTCTTGCTTTAAGAAGACAAAACATCATTTCATTTACAATTTCTGCGCAAGGATGAAACTAAATCCCCCTCACTCAAACTGTCGAAATTGAAGATAGTTCATATGCTGCTTATATCCTGATTCTGATTCCGCCCTTTTCTGCAAGTAATGCCTGACATACGTGAACAAACAAGTTCAGTGGTGCAGTGTCCTCCTCTCCTGTTCAGCACGTACGAGCAGTCAAATCTTTGCATACATTGATGCCACAATCTGTGGAACCGGTGAAGTGGCGGAGTGCGCTGATTCGGAGTGTGTTGCCATGCAGCACATAGTCAGCCCAGAGGGTTATAAGAACTTTCACCGGACCAGCAAGCCTCCGCCCACGAAACCGGCAGCTGCCAACTTGGCAGTAGTTTGAGGAAACCTTAGTATTTTACTGCAGAGATATAAGGAGGAATAGAAGTTGTCGCCGGCTGTAAATAAGTACACACTCTGTGGCCTGCATCTCGGACTAGTGCATAAGGTCACTGGATATGATAGACAGCGGCACCGATTTCTTCAGTCCCGCTACCGGACGGGGCAATGAAATCCTCTGTGTCGTTTTCTATTAATGTGGGACAAAGATATGCCAAACCAGTGTAGACACCTGACCAGTAGAGTATCTAGCGATTTGTCCGGTATTTCCATTTCTGGCATTGACCGGATGATCCAGTTATGAACTTGGTCAACCTGATACGAATCTCGCAAACTGTTACTTTGTCTTCCCAGAGTCGGCCCGGGAAGTGGATTTAGGACGGGACGTTGTTTGGACCCGTTAGACGATTTATGTTCATAATTTAATCCTCGTCTTTGGCAGGTTACTCGAGCTGACAGAATCTCCGAGGTAACCGTACTTTATTTTAACCGTATACAACCTGTGAATCACACATCTATACACAAGCATAATAATCCTATATTACTTAAAATGAAAACATATCACTGATAAGTTTTCATTGTTGATAGATGGCTGATATGATATCAGCCAACATTTCAGTAATTCCCGACTCACGTTACTATACGTCAGAAGGACCACCGACCTGATTGCAGTAGGTACTGTCGCCAGCTTCCCCACATCAGAAGTTTCAGTTTGAATTTGCTTCCCTTCTTCAAGTCACCTTCTGGGCCCTAACGGTAGTCTGATCTCATAGGATTTCCCGATATTACAGACTAAACCGTACTATCACATAGTTAAATGTATCACTACAGTGATCTCTCTCCCTCGCACTGAGGTTATACTGACAAATTAATAACGAAAATGAAGGAAATGCCACCATCTCATCTTACAACAAATGTAACATTAGTTTATATTTTAGCATCATCATTCTATCGTATGTATGTTGCTGCGATTTTAAACTAATCAAAATGTCGAGAAAAACATTTAAATCCAATTTATTTTTATATTATAGAATTCACTACTTTATGTTCTGTGTAAATATTCTAAATGATACTAATCTCATAAGGGATGTTTATAGATATCAATGCTCTGTGTTTACAAATTTTGTATTCAATCTTTGTATAAATATTTTCAATTTGTATTGATAAAGTGCTTATTTTTCTCACTATATCAAAGATATGTTACATACAAAAAAATTTATAATACAGAATCTACATATAATAATGAGATTATTGATATAATCAAGTCACATGTAATTTGATGCTAAAAACATACTGTCTTAGAACCAATTCAAGTAATATTATAAAAATTGGTAAAACCATGCTTTAGTAAACACGGTAAATAAATATCTATTTAACTTATTTTGATGAAGCATAATTATTTGTTTTATGCCTATATCTACCAGTATTTTGTTCTAACTAGAATTCATATACATTATGATATATTTGGTTATCACTTTCTCACTCAAAAATGCAAAATTATATCTTTGTGATTCTTTGATGGTACATGTATTACATAAGTTAATATTAAACTTTATATAATATAACTCAAACATAATGATTTTTGATGATGTGAGTTAATATGTTGATATGCAATTGATTTTGCATTGAAAGATCAAATCACTCCAACGTTGGCAATGAAAATTGAAAGTAAGTTATCCATAGCATTTTGTTGAATGAATAATCATTAAATATCACAAAACATTACATATGTTCGAATGATAAAATGATGCATAGAAATAATTGCAATCCACTAAAATCAAAGTGGAGTGAAATCTAGCTCTTTTGATTTGATATGAATAATCAACCATGTCAAATGCATTTCAAAATAAGTGATGAAATTTTCCATTGAAAGTTAGCTATTCATAACTTAGAAACATATAGTTTGCAATTACATTTTGATCTCTTGTTAAATAAGTAATAAATGTAGTCGTGATTGAAAAAATATATATCCTAAAAATGTTATTCATAATGTACTCCATAATAAAATCTAATTGATGCAGTTCACGCAAAATGCAAATCAAAAGTTTATATACATTGCGCCATCAAGATAAATAACAGCGTTAGTAATCCATACTTTTATATTGCTAGCATTGTAACACGTCATACCAAGAAGAAAATTTGTTCAATATGGACATAACATTGTCAACAACTTGTTGATTATTGTGAACATGATATTATTTGTATGACGATCAAACATATGAAGCGATATCATGCAAGTTAACAATAAATAAATAGTAAAAAATACAAATCCAAAACATATACGAAGTAATGAAATATTGTTGAGTCAAGTGCTAGTGAAAAGGCTAAAAACGACGTAAAACTTTAGCAATTTGTTGCAGGTTGACAACGCAAATAACTCAAACAAATTTATAAATTTATCACAATAACGTGTATATATATATATATATATAATGATTGCTCAAAACATCATACGTACAACCAATGAGTTTGAATACCAAAACAAATTATGTTCTGCAAAACATGTAACACATAGTAAAGCAAAATGAAGTTGTTTTTGTCTCATAACTGATCACTAAGTAAAAAAAACTGAAATGTATCATTCATTATTATAAAGCTTATTTTTTTGACGTTTCTGTTGCTAGACAATATCAAAAAAATTGAGCATTCATCTCAATCGCACTATCAACTGCAATTTATTCATCTGCATCATGATGAATAGACTTTTTCTAGAATTTTTGAAATAAAATATCATGTTGCTCACAATAATATGCATAATATATCTTTTAATATCACAGATACTTTCTTTAAGTTCTCAAAATTGAAGACAAGAATTACGTTTTTATGAAATTTTTGATCACAATTGGAATGTCTTCGGATAACAACACATACATAAAAGACGATTCAAGAGCTTGATACAAAGCCAATTAGGTAGTATGATGATTGCAAAAAATTTTATCAAAATTTTCTCACAATATAAATTTGTATATCATAGATAGTTTTTTCTTCATTTCTCAAAATTGAAAACATAAATTGAG